ATATATATATATATATATATATATATATATATATATATGTAGGGTAGATAATGTGAATAAAACACACAGACATCATTTTGTGACGGGACTGTAATCATTTCCTATGTCTTTTAGTTACACCACTTTTTTTATCCCTAAATAGAAAAACTTACGAGCACTACAGAATCACGTGCGGCTAGGGCAAGAATGTCGGCGCAGGAGACGACGCCAGGGCAGACAGCCTCGATTTGCTGTTTGGCTTCTTCAATGACTTCGAATCCCCTGAGACTGAGGTTGGGGACAGCTGTCTTCTCAGAGTTGGGTCCGTCGAGAAGGATGGAGCCGTCGCAGCCACTGACGAAGCAGTCATGGAAGAACATTCTAAGGATTGGTGCCGGGATTGTCTTGTCATTATTGAAATGATTGGCTAAGACTGACCTGACTATGGACTCGGCAGTGGGGCACGTTTTGGAGTAGAATCCGACGTTCAACTGCCCACGGGACACGGCCGCTAGGCTCCCAAGAGCAATCAAGACCGTTATAAGATGAGCTACACGGTTCAAGTAGAGAACCATGGTTAATGTGTATTGTTTGTTTTGTGTGATTAATTATTGATGTGGTTTGTTGTTATTTCTATTAGTGGTGCATTGTGTGGTGGGATAGGAGGGGGTATTTATAGGTCTTGTGCATGGGTTGTTTCATCTTTTTCTTATTGAATTTTATTTATTAATGTATTACTTTTTACGAAGAAAAAAATGGTTATGCTTAGGAAATTAAGATGATTCACCGGTCATGTGAAATTGGAATTGCAGTGGGAGTGGACATTTCGGAATTAGCTATGTTTTGCCATAATAAGGAAGATAGACATACGCGGTGATGAGTTTGACGATTGGAATTATTGTGGACTTTGGGGGTATCAAAATATATCAATCAACTAAACAGCAAATCAAAGTGAAGAATAATATATATATATACAAGTAAGATTGAAATGGAAATGGGAGATCTAATCGTGGAATATGATAAAATGAAATTAAATGAATACGTTAGTTTGGTCAACAATTTAGTAAAATACTAGTAATAATCATGTACATATCCACATATTTAAATAAAATATTATTACATACACATATGTAATATTAAAATGATAAGTTATATAACCGAAATATCACATTTAGTAAATTTAATATTTAGTAAAAGTGAACAATTTAATCGTAAAATTTACTTCTATTTGAATAGTTGTATAAATTTTATAAAATATAATGAATAATGTAGCTTTACAAATTTAAAGGGTTGTGACTAATTAATTAGTTTATAATATAATAAATTATTATTATTATTATAACAATTGTCATGTGATTTAAAAAGGGTTGCTATGCCATTATGTGAAAATTAGTTATCTAAAAATTGTTTAATGAGATAAAAATAAAAACTATATTTATTTTTATATAAATATTTTTCATGTATCTTTTAATGTGAATTTATAATTAGTTAATATTAGTAGTACTTATTATATGATAGAATAGCTACAAAAGTATTATTATATTCAATCAATATAAAATGTAACGATTAGTTTCACAATTAAATCAAAAAAATGGTCAGGAAAATTACATTAAATGGATAGCCTCAAATTATATATATATAATATATATATATATATATATATCAATTGAGAACCAAGTCCTATCAATTGAGAACCAAGTCCTAGCGTGAGAATCGTGAGAATTGCTATTTTTAATTATATGTAGTGCTATGATTGATTGTATTTAGTGCTATTTTTAATCAGGATGTATTTTATTAAAAATAACAACACAATTTATGTTAGCATTTGTAAAAATGATAGCACCATGTAAGATTAAAAATAGCATCATACACAATTAAAAATAGCATCAAATATTGTTTTCACGGTTCTCACACCAGAAAAGATTTTTATTTGAACCACTCTCTCTATATATATATATAGATGTGGTGGCATTTTGGTAAAATGATAACAAATGTGTATATTGAAATGTATTATTGTGCATACAATTTAACATTTTTATGCTTGTTCAGTAATATAGAATCAATAAAGTATGAGACAAACAAGATTTACCAATACAACTTAGTTTTTGAGTATTTTATATTATTTGAGATATTACAAAACAATTATACTATGTTTTCATTGACACCATTTTTGGCAATGATTTTCGAAATTGACTTTTCAACATTATGCTCAACATGCTCTTATTGGGCAAATATATATCTGAATTTGAATATGTACATTTCCGCTACTTGATGCATCCGTGCTGTTGGTGGGCACGGAGCCACGGACCCATTTAAAGACGGCGAAGAGGAGGGGATGAGTGGATGACCTAGACGTGGACGTGGCCGTGGCACAACGCGAGTGTAAGAAAAATATCCTATATGCGATAATCTTAACTCATTCTTGGCGGTTGATAATATTTAAAGGCATTGATAAGGCACTAGTGCGTGGCCCGTGCGATGCACGGGGAAATAATATTACAATTATATTATAAATTAAATATATAAATAATATTAATCATAATTTATCTATTATTTTTAAATTAAATCGGGTTGAACACAGTCCGACCGGATGGACTGAGAACCGGTTTATAACCAATCTAGTTCGCTTGAATAAAATATTTTCTCTCCAATCAGTCAACACCAGTCAGTTGGACTGGTAGGATCAATATGATTTTTAAAATAAATTTTGTTATATTTAAAATTACATATTTAAATAAAATAGAGATTTATAAATTATTGATCAATTAGTTTAAACATTTGAATTTATAATTGTCTAGATATCTAAGTAATACATTTTATTTAAGTTTATTACAAAAAGTACTATATATATATATATTAAAATATTTATAAATTAAAATCTGAACAAACCACAAATGATTTAATAAAATAACTTGATCGTTTCGATGACGGTCCAATTCTGAAAACCTTACATTTACTGTACATTAATAAATATTATAATAAAATATTATTTAATTCACATAAACATTAATTAAATGATATATAAATATTCATAAATCATTAAACATGTTGTCATAAAAGTATTGTTAATACGATTATTTAAAGTTTGGACAACATCACATTCACGTAATAAAATATTTTTAATATAAAATTTATATTTAGGTTCAATAATCAATTTGGTACGGTCGAACTGATACATAACTTAGTCACCTAGGACCAACAGAGTTGTGTCAAGTCTTTTGACTATTTTAAATATCACCTAAAATAATTCAATCAACCTAGGCAGTACCCTATTTCAATCGCTCGATTGATCCGAAGAAATTTTCTTATTTTCTTTAAATATATTTAATTTTATGAAATAAAAATATTTTATGATTCATATAATAAATGTCTACACCAAATGATAGTTTATTAAGATTATAAATTATATATTTAAAGTTGAATTAATTATTTTTACTTTATGCATATTAATAAAAAATAAACATAGTAATTTTCAAAAAATTAAGATTAATTGATTGATTATGCAATTTAAAGAATATTTTTAGCGTTCTATATTTTTTTTAAAGGCACAAATATAAGGACCGAGATTCTAAAGCTTTTGTTATATTTTGAATTGAGATTTTATAAATATAGAGACCGAGATTTTAATGTTGTTCGTTGTTTTTAAGAAAAAAAAAACATACACACTTAATAAATTTTAGTCGGATTTTTTAAATAATAAAATAAACTAAAGCCTGAAATTTAAGGTAACATTTAATGTTGTATGATTTTTAAAGAAAAAAATAAGAAAAACAATAAAACTTACTATTTATAGATTGCATTAAATTTTGACCTATTTTTTTGCTACTATTTTTGGTAAATGTTAATTCTTATTATATAGATATAGATTGTAGAAGTAATAACTAAAGGCATTGATAAGGTATAGGAGATTGTCGTATTTAAAGGCATTGACAATTTGTTCATGATGTCATGTTTTCGAGACAAGTTTTCATTGATATTAGTATGAATCTCGTGTGCACAGGTAAGATATATTCATTAATATTTTTAAATTAAAAATTTTTATTAAATAATATTCATAAAATAAAAATATGGAAACAATATGTAATACAATTGATCTATATTAATTTATTGAAAATATTATATAACGTTTAAATTGTGCAAATTAAATTACATAAAAATGTCTATTTTAATATTAATACACAATCCGTGCGATGTACATAATTGATAATAAATTACATTACATGCGTTTCAAAGTAAGTGACATTTCAAAATTTTTATTCAGAAATTTGATTTGACTATAATGTGATTCCATAAAATAGTCATTTCGGTAAAATTTTATCATATATTTAACAACCTATGTGAATAATAAGTATAAATGTAAACTTTATATTGTTTCATTGATTAATATAAATTTATTTTAGTATAAACTATTCAAATCAAAAAATAAGTAGTCGAATAATTTATTAAACTATAAATAATTGACTATTTCGTTTACGTCCAAGTTAGTATTGACCCATAAGTTGTGTGAATAATTATTTTTTTGATTTTTAATTTTAAATAAAAATTTTTTTTTTTCAATATATTATATACCAAATTTAAACCATGCAATTATAAAAGTGATAACCGCAAGTTTTGTCAATAAATTTGATGTGGTATACTACAGATCTGGAGTGAACCGGTGGTTGTGAGTTCCGATTTGTTCGAACCGCCTCTAGACCGCCGTAAACACCTGCAAGAACTCAACGCCGGAAGTGTTTCCGACGTAGAGCCTCCGACGCTCAAGTCAATATGAGAAAAAGATGAGAGAGATCTTCTAAGAGAGAGCAATCACAGCAGAGAGATGGAAAGTGTATAGAATGAGTAGAAGTTAGGGTTTATGGTTACCTCAACCCCTTTATATAAAGGGAAATACCTACTTGAAGTACCCAAAATGTCCTGGTCGGTTCGTCTCCCTTCACCTCTTAGTCAACTCAAAATTTCTTCTTATCCAATAAAGATCCACCCTCATTTAGGAGACTTATTAAGAAATACTGCAAGTGTCTTGAGTCGTCAATACGTTTTGGGCCTCGAGGCGCAAGGAGTCGACCTCGAGCATTAGGAGGTCGACTTAGGATTTACCCGAGAATGTATTCGGAGGCTCTAGCGCTTGCTTGCCTTCTTGGTAGAGGTCGACTTTGGGAGTCGACTTAGAGGAGTCGTCTTGAAGACGTCGACTTGCTAAAAGGGTTTCCTTATTCAGTTATTGCACGAGGGGAGCCGACTTTAAGAGAGTCGACTTGAGGATGCTCGACATGACGGTTCGCCTCGTCATCCGGTCGAGCAGCTAGTACTTGAACCGGTATATCATAATATGGCCACACCAATATTATATACCAAAGTTAAATCATGCAACTAATAAAGTCAATAGCCGCAATATTTGACAAAAAATGATTTTGTACATTAACTATATTAATTTAGGCGGGATTTTTTACATTTTGGGAAAAAAAAATTATCCATTTTAGTAAATCTAATTTTTTAGGCGGAAAACCAAATGTTTTTTTATTGCTTTTTAGTTACTATTTCAAGTACAATCATTGTCTCTTTATATATTAATAGA